AGAAACTCAATAAACAACTGGTGAACTGACACAGGACTTTTGACTCAGGAACAGTCAAAGGGTTCCAGGCCCAGTTCAGGAACTATATGACGTTTTGGCAATTTAATCACCTTTTTGTGTCTGAGTTTCTTCATCTTTAAAACAAAGTTAATAACACTTGTCCACTTTCCCTGACTGCCTCGTCTCACAAGACTGTGGTAAGACGATATACAGGAAAGCATTTTGGATAGTAGACAACAAAGGCAATATAAATTTTAAGTGTTTTAGTTTGAGTTACCTGTATTCTCTATCCTGGAAGATATGGCAACACAGTGTTGACAAAAAAACTTTTTTTGTCCCTCTCCCCCTTGTTTGTACTCACTGACCCAATTCTTTGGGGCATAGTACTTTGTCTCTGAAGCAAGATTCCTTCCCTTTTGCTCTCTATGGTTCCATAGCTTTCTAGCTGGTTGGTCTAGGCTCTCAAAAAGAAAAAGCAGCAGACACCTACCTATGGCAAAGATGGCAGCCTGTGCAAAGTCAGCAGACACATCAGTACAGTACCCTCGAAGCTCCTCTAGCACCTGCTGCACGTTCTCATCGTTCACCAGCTCACATAGCACCTCCACCTTCTGTAGCTTGATGTAGTGGGGCTCTGAGTAGGAGCAAAAAAACTTTTTGTAGTGGCTGCTAAAGTGACCTGGCAAACTACGCAAGATCTGGCGCACATGACAGAGGGCAGCAAAACAGAGCTCGCGGCTCTCTGAAGAACAGGCAGCCAGCAAAGGTCCCTTGACTTGCACAAGCACGTCAGTTTGTACATGGGGGAATTTTTTTGCCAAGATCAGAAAGAGTTTGGTGGCTCCCATCACCACGCCTGGGCTACTGCTCTTGAGAAAGCTGTCCAACAGATTGAGAATGTCAAACAGCTCCTCCTCACTGCGGGGTTGGTAGCGTAGCAGAAAGTTCAGTACTTCAGCCTGGCCCCACTGGTCCAGTTTTGACATTCTATCCAAAAAAGAAAATAAAAGTGCTATTTTAGCAACAAAATTAGGATCATCTCCATGCTACTGCCATGTCACCAGTCACCTGTTCATCATAACAAGGGGAGAATTCTTGAAAACAGGCTGTGCCATAATCAAATTATTCTTTTTATGTACTATTTAAAGTTTACACAGAATAGGCTTTAAGTTCCAAGATGAGTTTACAATACAAATGCACACTCATCTAAGGCAAAGACATGATCACTATACCCTAGATCCAGATTCTCTACATTTTAAGACAGCATAAATGGCTTAGTTTGGGGGACATAATGACTCAAGGAGGAGAGACCCTATCCCCACAGGACGTTCCTGCCATCTCTCTCTGTCACCAAAAGAAACTAAGACAAATAAAAGAAATCTTCTCAAAGAAATATGAGGAAGTTAACAGTTATGGTTAACTTTCTTTACTACTCTACAGAAGTTGTTCAAGACCTCTCCTTAATTCAACACATCAATAAGATCCCCCTAGGATGCAGATCTCATCATAATAGAAAGAGCAAAGAGGCATGCAAACCGATTTAAGAGATGGTGGGCGATGGGCTTATTGATGACAACACCTCCTTCCTGTTTCAGAATTTCCTCTAGAGACCTCAGGCAGTTCACAACCACAATTGGATCCTGGTCACGCAGCAAACTGTATAATTCATTTACCAGGGCACCATCTATAAAAGAGAACAAACATCTCAGGTAAAGAAGAAAAGCTTCAGAGTCACAGGAAAAAAGCCAGAGTAATAGCTCCAGGCAGACAAAGCTGAACTCTGCTACAAAAATAACAAAGGCAATAACAAAGTGCAAGCCAAAAAAACAGCCATCTCCAGGCTGTGTTCTAACTAGCTAATGCAAAGGATCTCACCTGGGCCCCAAAGAAAGGACTTCTCTAATCTCAGAAAATACCAAGCCCTGCATCCTACTTAAAGAGACATGTACAGAAAGAAGTAGGGCCACATTATTATTTTCTACCAAAGCTACATAATCTTTTACAAAGGCATACATATAATGGAGGCAAAAATAAATATTGATCATGATGGATTACACTGAAACTTACCCACTTCAGAGTCTCCATGAAGATTATGCATCTTGGCACAACCAAGGACTGCCACCCTCCTGACATATGAAGCCTTATCACGCAGACCATTGAGAACAGGCTGTTGGATATATTCCTGCACACCAGGCATCCTGAACAACACATCTTGGAGTCAGCCAAATCCTGAAATACTCGTTTTGACATAATTCAGCCTCTATTCACTTAATAGAGGGTTTAATAGATGTTTGAATGTGCATCTATCAGATCATAAAGAACTGGAGAATTAAAAAGCCATCCTTGACTTTTCATTTGGAATAATACTGCATGGGCAGCAAAAAACACATATATGTAATTGTTTAGAAATCTTTAACCAAAACCAAGAACTATTTCATGAAGAGTGAGGATGGAAAACTCCCTATAATGAACCATACAATACAGTTTTTTAAACCATAGCAATGGCTGAAAACCTGAGTTCAAGTTACAACAGTATTTTCCCCAATATTAAGGAGCTTAAATAAATTGTCATCATTAAAAACCTGCCCCATGACCTCCTGAAGTCATCAGCCACTGAGAAACAGGCAGGGAAGAGGGTGCTCACCTGAGGCTACACATGCTCCGTAGTGCCAGCCCTCGCACCATCGGATTGGGGTCCGAACAGTCTTTGCACAGTGTATTGATGGCCAGCAGAGCCAGATCTGGTTTCAGGGGGGCATACGTGCACATGTACAGGTAAACCAACTTCTTCTGAACAATATCTACAGTGGCACTGGCCTTCACCATTTCCATGAAAACACCAGACATGTCCAAGCCCTGAGTCATGTGCCTGAAACCAACACACATAGCAGGAAGATGTAAAATACATAATCCCCAACCTACAATGGAAGGCATTTTACTTACGCATGTCCTGGTTATCTAACTAGATCGAGATCTCTTAGAAGGAAGCAACCAGGACTGTCTTGTCTACTATATCACACAATACTTCACACCATGGGCCTGCAATAAACGTTCTTCTGTTCACTCAACAAACATTTATTGAATTCCTAGTACATTCCAGTGAAATTCAGTTCTTACATTCCAGGGATATACTCTGGGGACATACTCTTGAATAAAGCATGGTCTCAGATCTCTAGGAACTCAAGGAACCAGACAAGAACACCACTAATTACAGTACGATAGATAAGTGTCATAACAGAACTAACAGAGAAGGTGCAGTGGGGATCTAGGGGGCTATTACTGCCAGGAAGTCATAAAATGTTTCCACAGAGGAAGTAATACTTTAGCTGAATGAGCAGGCGCTCACCGGGCAAGTGTAGTAGACAGGTAATGATACATGCTATGAGGCACATAGATGTGAGCAAGAATGGTACATTCTTTTGAGAGTCTGCAGGTAGTTGAGTTAGCCAGGCGTTCCTTGGGTGCTATAAGAATTTTGGACTTTACTCCGTAGATCACTGTTTCTCAAACTGTGATCTCCTACAGGAATCAGATGGGATATTTGTTTAATATGCAGATTCCTGGGTTCCATCCCACCCCACTGAAATCAGAATTACTGGATCGGATGAAAGAATTACATATTTTTTAAAAGCACCCCAAGGGACTTTTGGGCATACTAAAGTTTGCGATCCACAGCTGTAGGCAAGAGTTATATGTTCAAATACATATGTTGGAAAACTCATTCTGACTGAAATGAGGCAAGGTGACCTATTAGTAAGCTACTCAATTTTTTGGTAATGAAATCAGAACAACAGGAGTGCTGATAAAAAATAAGTAAATAAGAGAATGGATATTTAGAACTCCGAATTCATACCACCTGACTTAACAAGTGAAGATCAAGAGTTATTGAGGTTGACTCCCACGCTTGGTCAGCTGGGTGTTGACATTCAACACAAATATAAGTGGAAGAGCAGGTTTGGGAGGGGGAAAGGATGTGGGTGTTATTTTGCATGTCTTCGAAGAACTATCCACCTAGAAATGCCAAGCAGGCGGTAGGATATGCGGGCCTGAAGATAAAAAAGCAGGTCTGTACCAGATACAGTATTATAGATCTGGGAGTCAGCAGTGTAAGTTCAAGATACGGAGGAAACCAACCGAGTAAACGAAGTAAAAGAAGTAATACAAGGGAGACTGAGATGGCACTCCAGAGAAGCAGGAAGACGGAACCATGCAACTGCCATGTATTAAGTTCATTTCCTCTCTCAGAGCGGCCAGGGGTAGAGAGCCTGACGGGGACTGCAGTGGGGGAGTTAGGGCGTTAGGTGATACCTAATCACTCGCTGGATGACATTCCGGTAGCGCAGCCTATCAGCTTGAACGTGAGGGTTACACAGAGCCTTCTTCAGCTCCTTCACCATGTCCTCGGAGCCGAGGTACGGCATCTTCCCGACGAGTCCCGGGGCGGTTCCCACAGATCCCTAGGTAATTCGCGGGCTCCTTCAAGCCCTGATGTGGGAACCTGGGTAAAGGAAACGTCAGTCGGTTAAGTGACTAAGGGCGTGATCTCGCCCAGCCGTGGCTTGCCCAGGGCCGGCGCCCAGGCCCCAGCACGCTCAGACTTCCACCCTCTCCGCTCTCCAGCCACCCCCGGCTTGGCTCTTAGGTTCCCTCCCGGGACCTGCAGGCTGGCTCGCTCCGCCCATAAATCTCTCCCGCTACCTCTAGGCCCTCGGCCGGATTTCCAGCCCGGCAGCCGACAGTCCGCAGACCCCTCCCTCTCCAGTTCCAGCCTTTCTTGCGCCTCCACGCGATTGTCGTCACAGATGGGCCCAATCACCCTTTCTGCGGAAGTCCCGCCTCCCCTTCGAGCGGAGCAGCTGCCACTCACCCTCTCCCGCGAGCGCCGAGCGCAGCCGGGACCCCGACCTCAGGGTGCCCTTCCCCCAACCTCTCACCTCCCGGCGCAGCCGCACGGCTCCCGCAGGGCTCCCTCTGATGGAGCTGCGGCAGACAGTCGGAGATCGGCTACTTGGGCCTGTCTCCGCCCAGCAGCGGGCACTTTGAGTGCCGGGCCTCGGCCCCGGCTCCCGCGGATGGAAGCGCGCTTTTCGATTCCACCCCCGGACTGCCGCGAGCACTGTCACTTCCTTCTTTTTGCCACTCTAGTAACTTACTCCTCTACTGGGCTGGCTTTCCCTTAGGGTGTCTGGCCCTGGTCTTGCCCCGGCATGACTCTCTTCAGGGCGCCGTTGTGGGAGCCTCACGCAGGCGGTCTGTTCTCATGAAGATCCCACTGGTGACTCTCCAACCTTGCCACCATGAACGGGGTCCTGATCCCCCATACGCCCATTGCCGTGGACTTTTGGAGCCTGCGACGGGCTGGTTCCGCACGGCTCTTCTTCTTGTCCCACATGCACTCGGACCACACCGTGGGTCTGACTAGCACCTGGGCCCGGCCCCTCTACTGCTCCCCAATCACCGCTTACCTCTTGCATCGTCACCTACAGGTATGGGGGACTACAGTCGGCCTCCGAGAACTAGTCCAGGCATGTGAGTGGGGACTTCCAATCTGTCACAGCCGTGCAGTCATAGAGTAGGGGCCACGAGGACTGATTTTTACAGTGCGGGAGTTGTTTGAAACCAGAAATAGATCTTTAGCCCAGAATAGGAGTGTGACTTCCATCTGGCGGACTTGGGATGTTTCAGCAATAAGTTGGGGAGATCTTTTAGTCCAGCCAAGAACTATTCCTGCCTTTTCACCTAAGGTAGGCCAATGTTTCCCAAACTTGCCTCATCATAAGAATCCACCTAGTGTGCTGGGTAAATATACAGATTCTCCAGCGCTTCCCCTCTTCCCCCATATGATTCGGTAGCTATAGCTGGTGCAGGTCCTGGAAATCTAGTTGAAATTTTTTTAACAGGTGCTACCAAGGGATTATGATGATCAGGGAAGTTGGAGAATCGCTGACTAGCCTGTTTTCTGAATCTTAATTTAAAATTGTTCAAAGGGTGGGGTGGAGAGTGGGAGGAGGAAGAGGGGATTGTTTGGGAATTCCCATTACAGCTTCTGCTCCAGGGCAACTCAGGATTTGGTCAGCTTTCCCTAACTCAGGAAAGGGATAGTTCCTGATCCAGGGAGGTATCAGGGATGGGAGTCTGTTCACCAGGTTGACTGTTTCCTCAGGTATCCAAGCATTGGATCCGAGCCCTGGAGGTTGGTGAGAGCCATGTCCTGCCTCTAGATGAAATTGGGCGAGAGACCATGACTGTAACCCTCATCGATGCCAATCACTGCCCTGGCTCTGTCATGTTTCTCTTTGAAGGCTACTTTGGAACCATCCTCTACACAGGTGGGCCTTCCGAAGTGTCCCTCTCACCCTCCCAGCCTAGACACTACTTTTCCTGAGCAGCCTTAACTCATAATAGAAGTCTGAGTTATTCCATATGAGCACAGTGACCCTTTCTCAACTGATTTCTCTTTAAGAGTCCAAACCTTGTAAAGAGTAATCCAAAAACAGGAACAGGATGGAGACATTTCCACACAGAATATTAGTTCAGGGCCAGACTCCATGATAGTTTTTCCACAGGCCAGTAAGCAAATGCCCCTCTGTTGTTGGAGGTGGGAGAGGCTTGTCTTCTATTCTTTTGTCTCTGACTCTGTACCCCCCTATATTCTTCTTCCAGGTGATTTTCGGTATACACCGTCCATGCTAAAGGAGCCAGCCCTGAGATTGGGTAAACAGATCCATACCTTATACCTAGACAACACCAATTGCAACCCAGCCCTGGTTCTTCCCTCCCAACAAGAAGCTGCCCGCCAGATTGTCAAGCTCATTCGAAAGCACCCACAACATAACATAAAGATTGGTGAGTGGTTTCCTTTCCTTTTTCTCTCACCGATAGCTAATGAATCTAGGTTCTTTGGGTGTTTCTCACATCTTTCAAGTCTTTGTGCAGATCTCCCCTTCTCCATGAAACCTACCCCGACCACCTTATTTAAAATCACTCTCTTCCCACCATCCCTACTCCCACATTCCCAACTCCTGATACCTATACCAATTCAACTTTTTCATTTTTTCATGGTACTCATCACCTTCCAACACACTCTATACATGTTTTAATATGCTGTTGCTTATTGCTTATTATCCATCCCCCACTTCCACTGCCACACACACACACAGAAACATAAACTCCTCGAAAGCATGGATAGAAGTGCGAAGAAGTCTTGCGTGTTTGTGGCACAGAGAAGCAGCAGCCACTATGGCAGGAGCACAGTGGGTGAGGAGGCTAGAAAGGCAGAAAGGGCTGAGGTACTCGTAAGCCATTTGAACTTGATCCTAAATGCAACCATAGCTCTTAGGATAAAGAGCTATTGAAGAGTTTTAAGTAGGAGAGGGACAGTATTGCACTCGTCATCTTACAGCGTATTCTATAATTTACCTATTTGTTGTATTTAGTTTTTATGTCTCCCCTGCTAGAATGTAAATTCCACAATGGCATGGCTCTTTGTTTTACTTATGGATATATCCCAGATGCCTAGATTATTGCCTGATGAGGCATTCAATAAATATTTGTTATATGAGTGAATGAAATTTATCAGTATATAGATATTCAAGTGAGTGTTGTGCTTAAAATTAGATACATTGAAAAACTAACTATATGCTTGTTCTAGTGATTCCACAATAGTACAAAACATTTTGGAGTCTCTTCTTTTGGAATTGCCTTTTGAGATAGTTTATGAAAACTAATTTTTGTTTTTGAAAATGTAATAGATTTAGTTCTAAATGACTTTTTGATTGTTTCCAAAATTATAATAAATCCACAAAAGGAAAAAGATTTGCCACCATGACGAATATTTTAAAAAAGATATGCCCCAATTCTGAAAGGAGTTTCAAAGTAGGGTTAAACAAAAGCATTGAAAAAAATTATATACTTTCTAGCGTGACTACCAAATTGATTGAGAAATATCCCCTACTCAGGATTGCTTGGCTGCTTATGAAGAAATACCAGTCCTAACTATTCTTGGAGTTTTCAGTGCAGAGTTTTCCCAGACAAGCACAGCTGGCTAGTTGTTGAAGGGCTTAATTTTGCAAATATATAATAAGCTTCTACTGTGTGCCAAGTATTCTGATAGGCAGTGGGAATAGAAAGATGAATAAAATATGAGGGCTTACAGACTAGTAGTAAAGGACCTAGAAGAAGTAAAAAAAAAAAGTGGGGGAAGTGGAGGGGGGAATAGGGAAAGGGAAAAGAAAATCAGCTACATTTGTGCCCAAAGAGTGAGGTTTTAAACCATGATAAGGAGTAAGGTGGATATGAAAAAACGGTAAGTTCTTTAAAGGACTTCACTATCTGGTTGTGGACTTGAAATACACCTTCAGAAAAGGCCCGAGAACAACTATTAAACAACATCTCCCATATCTGTTACCATAACCATTACTCAAATTTAGGCCCCCATTTCTTTCTGTATAAGTACTGTTTGGGCCTTTTAACTGGTGCATCTACTTTCAGCGTCTTCTCCTCCAGGCCGTTGAATGACACTGCTGCCACATTTTTTTTTCCTAAAGCCCTGCTCTGATCATATTAATCCTATGATTAGAATTAGCCATGTTCCTGCTGCACACTCTTCAGTGGCTCCCCTTCACTTACAGAATTAAGTCCAGGCTCCGCAGCAGTACATACAAGGCCCTCTACTTGGTGGCCCTTGCTTACCTCTCTAGTGTCATTTCTGTCCAGTTTCTCCTTTATACTTTAGTAATGCCAAACTGACCCCTCTTAAGATGCTCTCTACCATCCCCTTCTCTTGCTACGTTAACTCGGAGTTATCCTTTAAGACTTACCTTAGTTGTTATTTTCAGGAAACTTTCCCTAACTCCATCAACTGGTGGATACTTTTCTGTGCCCTCATAATACTGTGTGCTTGTCTCTAACATGGCCCTTAACCACCTTGTTTCTGGGTCCCCATGCAGATTACACTCCTTGAGGACTGAGACTTTCTGTTTGTTTTCACAGGGCCTAACACTTGGTAGATGCTTTCCTTTGTTGAACTGAATGAATGAGTGGATTCTGCGTTAACCCGTCTGCACTCCATTCTCCATACATCTCAGCTCAAATGCCACCTCCTCCCTGATATAATTCCTGATTGCCCCATTAGTTTTGTGTATTTTTGTTAAACATTTGGTTCATTTATTAGGATTCCCCAATAGCTTCCTTCTTTTCCTTCTCTTACTTTCCCCAATCCCTTTAACGTGATTCAGGACTCTACAGCCTGGGAAAAGAGTCACTGCTGGAACATCTGGCTCTGGAGTTTCAGACCTGGGTGGTATTGAGTCCTCGGCGCCTGGAGTTGGTGCAGCTGCTGGGCCTGGCAGATGTGTTCACAGTGGAGGAGAAGGCTGGCCGCATCCATGCTGTGGACCACATGGAGATCTGCCATTCTGCCATGCTGCACTGGAACCAGACCCATCCTACCATCGCCATCCTTCCCACAAGCCGGAAAATCCGCAGCTCCCACCCTGATATCCACATCATCCCCTACTCTGACCATTCCTCCTACTCTGAGCTCCGTGCCTTTGTCGCAGCACTAAAGCCTTGCCAGGTGGTGCCCATTGTCAGTCGACAGCCCTATAAGGGCTACTTTCAGGATACCCTGAGCCCCAGGCTCTCTGTGCCCCTGATTCCAGACTCTGTGCAGCAATACATGAGTTCCTCCTCTAGAAAACCAAGCTTTCTCTGGCTGTTGTTAGAAAAGAGGCTAAAGAGGCCGAGAACCCAGGGTGTCGTGTTTGAATCCCTTGAGGAAAATGCTGATCAATCTCAAACTGACAGGGACTCAAAGAAGGCCAAGAAGGAGAACCTTTCCGGAGACCTTGAGAAGCAACCCTCCCTCCATCCTTTGCAGATCAAGAAGCAGCTGTTCCCAGACCTCTGCAGCAAAGCACGGGGTGGGGCCGTCTCCCTCTCTGAGTCCCAGAAGATGGTGACTGTACCGACTGCCCCCTTGGGTTTTTCAGTGCACTTAAGGTCTACTGATGAGGAATTTCTCTCTCCAGAAACTGGGGAGGAAATTGTTGTAGGGCCCCACTTGGTACCCAGGGGAGACAAGGATGGCTCAGCAGCCACAGGGAAGCAGAGCGCGTGGATGGGCCAGGATTCTCCCCTGTCTAACAGCAGCCAGGCTGCCCCTCTTCTGGCTCCTGAGTTCAGGGGCCTGGCACTAAAATACCTTCTGACTCCAATGAACTTGTTCCAGGCAAGGTTCTCTTCCAGGGGCTTTGACCAGCAAGTGGAAAAATACCATAAACCCTTGCTAAAGGACAGAGAGGAGAGTACAGAATGACAACCTTGCTTGATCCAACACTGCAGTTTTGAAGATACTGGCTAGTGGGGAGAGTTTGTTTTGGGCCTTACTTTTCTGTCTTCACAGGATCCTTACAGGCTCAACCTAGAAGCGACACTTCTCAACGTGTGTTCATTGGAATCCCAGTGCCTATGGAATCCTTAGTTTTATAGTTGACTGTGTTTAAGAAACACTTTTCATTATAACCCCTTCACAATAGACGTGAGCATATTAAAGGTTCTCAGAAGCCCTGCAGTAACTTAATCTGTTTAACTTTGTTTAACCCAGTATTTCCCTAACTTTTTTGAACATAGAATCCTCTTATGTAGCTGCAGAAAGAGAGAAAGAGTCTGAATCAAAAAGGACCAAGTTATTCCCATTGTTACTTTGAGTCTCATGTGCCATTCTCCCTGTCCCCTTTTCCCTCTTCCTAGGTAAAAGTCGCTAGGTCTGTTTTTTAAGTTAGGAACTGTGGTGCTGGAGGAAAGTGGTGATCCAGGCAGCACGTTCCAATCCTGAATGTCACTGACTTGCTGTGACCTCATTCAAGTGACTTCCTGTCTCTACCTCTGGGAGGGAACAGGAAGTGATGAAGAGCCTTGGAACAGAGGAGAAAAATTCCACGTCTGCCTCCATAAGAGTTGCAGTTAGTGTCACTGGGGACCTATCTGGAACAGAGCCAGCTGGGGGATTGGGCACCCCTCACCAGGGCAGTACCTGGAACCCAGGTGAACATTAGGCTTAGGGTATGACAGGCTTCCCAGCTGCCTGGTGGCCCTGACTGTTTGGCTGAAATAAAGTTACAAAAGATCAAATGTGCTGCCAGATATTCCTGATTGTTCACATAGCTGGGATATTTGCTGCTCCCCCCTCCCCGCCGTGTTGAATTGAGTAAGGAGCCAGACCATACAGCCTGTTTGTTTTAGTATCCAGGGCAGAGACCAAAGAGCCAGCTGGTCAAGGGGCGGGGGTGGTGTTCAGTTCTGCCCTGTCCTTCTGCTCACAGCCTGACAAAATGCCAAACCAATAAGCAGGACAGCAGATACCACAGGCTCAGAGAGAGGGCACAGGCACGTGGAGCTGGGCGCATGGATTAAAAACTGCTTCAGAATGGAGCCTCGAGCCTTTGCAATGAAGCCTCTGTTTCTTGTTCAGGAAAAAAAGTTTTCTACTTTTGGAGGAAGATAGGAAGAGTTTAGAAAGCAAAATAAGGCTGTGTTCTTGGGCAACCATACACAGCTCTGTTTTGTCAATGGCCTTCACTGTAAGCCTCCCATGAGCCCACTAGGAGCTGCAGCAGGTGAGGTATGTGGGGCAGCAGGGAACATGGCCATTGTCCTGGGCCCAAGTCCAGGGCACCCTGGGCAAACAGAGATAGCATGCTTAACTAGCAGAGCCTCAGTTCCTTGTCTGTAAAACAGGGACTGAGATCCTACCTCTCCTGACTGTCGTGGAGGTTAGATAATGGGTCAAGTTCCTAGCTCAGTGCTTAACACATGATGGGTAATTCAAATATTGGTTCTCTTAGCCTCTGGTTCTTTAAAAACAATTATTCTTTATATAAAATAAGAAACTGGAAATTATATAAAAATATAAAGAAGACAAAATCAATTATAATTCCTCCATGTAGATCAATTGTTTTCTTCTAGTTTTTTTCTGTGCATGTAAATATTAAATATGTAAATTTTTTCAAAATTGGGGTGATACTGTATATAATTTTATATTCTGCATTTTACTTTCTTAACAGTATCTTAATCATTTCTTTGTATCATTAAATAATATTCGAATGTCACTTTTAATAGTTGTATAATACCCTAAAATAGTATACCTTAATTAAAACATTTCTATATTATTCAACATTTTGTGTGCCGTTTTTTTTCACAATTCTACATATTACAATGAACATCCTTATGCATACATCATGGCATTTTGTTTATTTCCTTAGAGTAAATTACTGGAAGTGGGATTACAGTTTTAAGTTCTTGATGCAAATTGTGCAAATTGCCCTTCAGAAAGGTTTCCTTACCAACCTTTCTGAAGAAGAGGCTAGCATTCAAATACCTTGAAAACTCATTAAGTTCAAAGGATGTCATTAGAATGGTACATGTAAACACATGGAAAATCATCTTGTGTGTTAATATTTACTAAGCTGTGTGGGCAAGGCTTAGCCTGACTTCCTGTAGGAGCCTCTAGCTGCCTCACTTCTGTACTACCCAAGGTGTCTGGGAGAGATAAGGTAGTCTTCAGTACAAGGGCCTCCAGATTGGCGTTATCTTCTAGCAGCAAGGGAACCTGTCCTTTCTTGGCACATGCTGTGTCACACGTATTCCTTGAAGTAGGATCTATGTGAATTTAGATGGGGCAGCAGAAGCAAAGGGCTCTGTGGAATTTAGTTGTTGGTGGCATGTTTTGTGTTTTAATAATAGAAAAATTCTGTACTATTCTCCTAAAGTAAATTTGTCTGGCTTCTTGTAATAGAGATTAGCAGTTGCCTTATTTGTTTGATTTCTTAACACTCTCTCATATAAAAAGGCTGCATTAGCTATTCCACTGTTGGGTATTTATCCAAAGAACTTGAAAACACCAATTTGCAAAGGTACATGCACCCCTGTGTTCATTGCAGCCTTATTCACAATAGCCAAGACTTGGAAGCAACCTAAGTGCCCATCAAGGGACGAATGGATAAAGAAGCTGTGGTATATATACACAATGGAATACTACTCAGCCATAAGAAATGACGAAATCCAGCCATTTGTGACAACATGGATGGACATTGAGGGTATAATGCAAAGTGAAATAAGTCAGAGGGAGAAGGCCAAATACCGTATGATTTCCTTCATTAAGTAGTAGATAATAACAACAATAAACAAACACATAGGGACAGAGATTGGATTGGTGGTTACCAGAGGGGAAGGGGGGAGGGGGGAGGGTGAAAGGGATAATTCGGTACATGTGTGTGGTGATGGGTTGTAATTAGTATTTTGGTGGTGAACATGATGTAGTCCATGCAGAAATAGAAGTACAATGATGTACACCTGAAATTTTTGCAATGTTATAAACCAATATTACTGCAATAAAAAAAAAAAATAATAAAAAAAAAAATAAAAAGGCTGCATTGCATATATCTTTAAGTAGCCAATTTAACTTATTTTTAGAATCTAAGGATGATCCCATAGACCTAAGATCTTGCAATTAGGCTTGAAGATACTGGGAGAAAAGAAGTTCCCTAGAGATCAATTAGTTATTTGTTTCATGATCTGTGGGAAAACTTGTACTTTTCCACATGGAGACTGACAGTGACTTAAGTCCCCTTAGAGAAGAAAATCTGCCTGGCTGGCTTTGGGGGACCATCTCTCACTTCTGACCCACACTGCCCTTTGTGGTAGGAAATGGGAGATAATGGGAGTCTGCTTTGGACCTGGGTTCTCTATCTCAAGTCCATTCCCAGGGAGACAGTTCTCTGCATTCTTGGAATGGTTCTCAAGCAGGAGAAATTCCATTTGGAGGTCCGTGTGCACATATTTTTGATGCTACCATTAGTGAGTAGCTGTCAGTCTTAATCTTCCAACCCCTCACCCTTCCTAACTACCACCACAACAAGTTGTTTTGCCTTGGGTTCATCGTGCGTCCCTCTTTCTGCGTCCGTCTTTCTCTTCCCCACGACGCCCCATCCACATCGGTACAGAATGATTCTGCTTACCCTTATAATTATCTGAATCTACAACTGCCTGTGGGGGATTCTTAGAATGGTTAAGCTTGTCTTTATTTTGACCACAATGCTTTTATTTAACTATGCTCTTCCCTTGACTATGTCATTCCTGGGTAACTTTCTCTTCTTTGAACACATCCTAGACCAACCAGATCACAGAAAGCTCCCAGAATCTTGGGTTTGGTTCTTTTCCTGGACAGATAGCTTACTGAATCATCTTTCAATCATACAAAACTTCTGGCTAGCCTTGGGTTAGTCTTTCCCTTACCATAGTCACATATTTAAAACACTATTGCATTATGGCTAGTTTACCAATCCTGAATCCTCTCATCAATTTACAATAAGTTTAGGGAGAGGAGGATGAATATTTGTGCCCAGTGCGACAATCCTATTCTTTTTTTTTGCTGAAGAAGAGTCGCCCTGAGCTCACATCTGTTGCCAATCTTCCTCCTTTTTTGCTTGAGGAAGATTATCCCTGAGCTCACATCTGTTGCCAGTCTTCCTCCTTTTTGGCTTGAGGAAGATTAGCACTGTGCCCACATCTGTGCCAATCTTCCTCTACTTTATACGTGGGTCGCCACCACAGCATGGCTTGATGAGTTGTGTAGGTTTGCGCCTGGGATATGAACCTGTGAACCCCAGGCCGCCGAAGCAGAGCGGGCCAAACTTAACCACTAGGCCATGGGGCTGGCCTCCAACTACAAACAATCATATCTTAATGTGCTCATTGAAATGTTCCTTTGAGGAACCAAGAAAATTGGGTCAAGTTCACTTACACTACTAATCAGGCTATGTAGAAACAAAGCCTCAGCGTGGGACCAGACTCCTGGTGTGTAGGGAGTCAGGGATATAAAGTTTGGAGAAAACCTGCTAAAAGGTTCTGAGCACCCAATTCCTAAATTGGTTGGGGGGGTCCCCCGCCGACCAACAATTCTCTGACACCAGCTGGGTGTCCTATAATTCAACTTAGTTCTGACACTATCTACCTGGACATAGCATCAGATCCCACAGGCTAAGGGCTCAGTCCTACAGGACTGCCCTCCACCCTCCACTTCAGATGCCAATTGTAAGTCCAGGCTGTCACCTGTGCTTCTGACTGACCAGCTATAGATTGGAGGTTCCAACAACCCCCTCCTTGTATTCAAATAATTTGCTAGAGCAGCTCACAGAACTCAGAGAAACATTTTACTTACTAGATCACTAGTTTATTATAAAAGGATATAACTCAAATGAAAGAGATACATAAGGCAAAGTATGGGGAAAGGGCAAGGAGCTTCCACGCTCTCCCCACATCTCCACGTGTTCACTTCCTCCTTTGGAACTCTGTCTTCACTCTGGATGACTTCGACATCTGGCCTCTCAGTTTCCTTGACCTCCTCCATCTTCAAAGACCTTATTTCCCTCTACCTTACCACCCAGTCATTACCAGAAATTGTACTACATCTGAAATCTCAATTTTAAACCTTCTTTTTTCCCAGCTTACTTGCTCAAGTACCTCCACTGC